GGAAAGAGCACAGAAAAAATACTGTATCAAAGAAAATATATTCAAATATATATATTCAATGTATATATTCAGATTATTCCTTGGGAAAAATGTAATCATGCAGCTTTACGGAGGCTATATGATTATGGAGGTTGTATATTATGGAGGCTGTTCTTCCCCAGGAAGCCTCTCGGGGAGCAGATAAAGCTTTGTGCACATTATTATCCTGGCTGTATTATCCTTTTTTTGGGCACAAAATAAACTTTTAAAAAAACATACCAAATCTTGATGATTCACTGTTTGGGGACCGTGCCGTGAGCCTGAGCAGGGACCAGCGGGGTTAACAATAACCCGTATTTCCAAGAATACCCCCACATTTAAGAATACCCCCACATTTAAGAATAACCCCACATTTTCAAGTCCTTAAAAAAACATAAAACGAGGCAGCCTTCTATTATTCAGCACGGTTACAATGCAGGGAACATCACTGCAACATCTGCTGCATGACTGGGCAGATAACATAGCGATGCGTCGCTGCGTTACTCTCAAAATACGTGCAAACACCAAAGCACTGGTTGGAGAGACCTCCAGAGATTTCCAGTCCAAGCTCCTGATTGAAGGAGGGCTATTGCCAGCATTATATCAAGTTCTGTGCCTGCAAATATTTTTTATATGAGCCTGGGATCGCTGTCTGAAAGGTACTGAATGAAAGAAAAGGAATGAGAGACATTTACCTTTTTGGAGCACTTGGTCGTGGTTTTAAGACAGCACTTCTTGTGACAAGCATATTTACATACTGCAGTGAAGAAAAATAGTATTTAATAATCCAAAAAGTCAGATTGCTGGAGAAATATGAATTAATACGAATTAAGTAGCTCCTCTCAGGACTAGCAGGTCAAAAGCATGTTCAATTTGCAGTTCCCAGGGGCCAAGTCTATATTAGACCCACTCAAATTAAAAAAACCCCGAAGCCTTTGATTTTAAAGGGCCCATATTTAAGTCCCTGAAACATTAAAAAAACCCTGATAGATCAACTCAGAAAATAATCTATGAGTCAGTCTCAGCTATCAGACTTGGACACACTCAAAGAGGTTGGAAATAGCACCTAATTTGTATTCTTCCTGCACTGGACATCGGCCTGAAATATCCCAAGGTCGATACGTTCAACCTAATCAAAGAAATGTTGGAAAAACGAAACTGATGGATCAACCTTTCCCATTGGTCCTCCTCCATTTTCCTGATCTCTCCAAAAATTCATGTGCCTGGAGGTCAGATGGGCTAAGCCAAATGAATCTGCCACGGTCACGAGACCCACAGACATCCTACGGGCTGAAGCCACAGGGCACGTTCGCCGTACCTGACACTCTCTTCCGTCCTTCTTACTGTGACACTTAAATATCGTTTGACCATCTGGGATGACCATAGGACCTTATGGGATAAGAGGTTCAATGTAAACCTCCCACGCACAAAACTAACCATACCATGAGGACCGGAAGAACTGCTGGGATGGACTTAAAAGTTGACCACAGAAACCCTTAGGATCTGTCCCAGAAGCAATTCTAATGTGAAAAAACCCAAATTATTTGAGAGTGGGGTTGCAGGAAACAGCAGCAAACATCTTTCAGAGCCCCAAAACTCATCACTGTGATACAAGCACAAGAAAAAAGGGCAAAGAGAGCGTGCTTACATTTACAAACAGAAGCCCTGTCCATTATCCAGATCAGGGAGGAACAATATTCACAGTAGGTGGGGATGCTGTACTGGGTCGCCTTAAAAATGTGACCATTGTGCTCTTCCACCTGCAATGAAGAAGATCGGGTGGTGACAAAAAGGAGATGGGTGAAGAGTTTGCTGCAAAATGGGGAGATGAACACAGTCAGCTGTCCAACTTTTAGCTGTTGTTTGCTATTTTTGTTTCCTTTTCCACCCAATAACCCCACAGGCAACCCAAACAGACATCCAGCCAGTGCTGGGAACTGAACCATCACGCAAGCAGGTTAGAAACTGCGTTCGACTGAGGTTGGCTGGTCAACCTCTCCAGGTTAGGAAGGTCTTCTATGCATCCACGGCCCCTTTTTGCTCTACATTGGCATCTTTCCCAGCACTATCATATCCTTTAGGAAAAAAGGAGATGTCATCTCCTACATCTCTGATGTTAGAGATGTCAACCACACACTGCAGAAACCCAGAACAACACTTTCTGTTTCGCTCTCAGCTCTACTATAATAACTCCTGACATTACGTGTACTGTCGTGACTGATGCGGGACGTGTTTTCAGAGGACAACCCTACAGCGATCCTTGATCAAGCAAACCAAGTCCACCTCATCCATCTTTCTAGCTTGTCCTTTCATGGCTGCACACTCATTACGGTGTGATGTTCAGATCTTGGCATAGGACATGTCATGAGCAGGTCTCTTATCACTCGTCCTTCTGGCCACAAGGACATTAATTCTTTAATGCGCAGGCACGGAGTGCTCAACTCACCACATCCGCTTCCTTTTTTCTTCTCTTTTTTCGTTCCGTTTTTGGCACCTGGAAACAGAAAGAGATTGAAGCGTATTTACAGGTGATTTCCCCAGCATACAGAGGGCTCAAATCTAACTTTGCCCACCACTTTCCCAGCTCCATCCTCCAGTGAACTTGCAGCCCCAGGAGTGTCACTCTAGAAAACTCTCCTACAGATCACCTCGTTTTTGGCAATCCCCTGGATAACTGTCCCCATCTTCATCTCAGAGTTGGGACTAGCTGCTCTGTCTCCAAGTCCAGCATCAGTGACCTAAAGCTCTCCCATCTCATGCAAGATACCCAAGAAGAACGTGGCCCAGCACTGCAGCCGGAGCTGATGCTCAGCCTGCTCTGAAGAAAACCTGCCTCGAGAGGACCCTGGGGAGGACTCGGAGCCAGAAGATGGGATTTTTGTACACTGCACACCATTTCCCAAGCCCAGCCTGAGACCCTGTGGCTGTCCTCACAGACAATATGGAGCAGAAAGTGAGGAGCTCAAGTTTGTGAAAGGCATACTGCAAGCTCTGACTGCTCTAAAAACTGCACCTAGACTCCGAGGACAGTCACTGCCAGTGTCCCCTTCTCCTGCAACCCAACCAATGTGGTCTCTTGGGAAGAGGTCAAGAGACTAGGAAAGCTTGTATCTCTCTCGCTTTACCTCAAAGATTAAAAAAACCCCCAAAAAACTAAAAAAGAAGCACCAGGAGCTGCCTTTCCAGCCACCCACGGATGGTTGCAGGTTTGCCCTGGAGACAACGTCTACATATTGGCATTGGCCAAGGCCCAGCTCAGCCCACATGTGAACTGGGGTTTGCTGAGCCCCGTGAAACACAACCAGTGAGTCACGCCTTACGGGCCGGCTTAATTTGTCCACCTCAGCTTAAAGCAGAGAAGACAACAGACGTTCCCACGTGTCTACAGAGAGCACAACCCCATGGAAAGACAGATCCCAAATCTTCAAGGGGCTTAAGAAAAGTGACGACTACCTTCACCGCTGTGTAGTCCAGGGGTTTGTACTCTATCATATATTCATCCAGGAAGACTTTGAAGGTATTGACCCAGACTTTAACTGGAGACTCACTCCAGTCCCGCTGCTCAAGCCTCATGGTTTTCTCCAGAATCTGCTCGAATAAGGCGTAGAGGTCCTTATAGCGGATGCTTTTCCCATCATCCATCTGTTAAGGAAACAGAAGGAAAAAGAACAGCTATTTTTATACACCCCAGACTGTCTCTTCTGCTCCAGACAATTATTTCAGCCTGACCAGCTTCCAGCCACTTGGGGAAAGTCCAAGTATGATTAAAAGAAGGAAAAAATCTAATAGAGAATCGTTTTGTGACCTTCCTCAGAGTGGCTTCTCAGTGCACAGAGCAGGAGGATGTTAAATGCCAGCTCAAGTCTTAGAGGAAACTCTTTGTACAATCCAGGCAATAAAATAGCTTTTTTTGATCACTGTGATCGCTAAGCCGTAGCGATCACTGCTCAGATTCAGAAGTAGCAGAGCAGAGCTCCACGTTGCTGAAACATCCACCACTCACAAATTTAATTCAAAGGTTTCCAGGCACTTTGGGTGGCAAATAGGAGTTTATTGACTTACTGTCATCTTTCATTTGACTGGGAGCAAGCGCATTAGGAGACCAGAAATCTCCACTCAAGGAGGAAGAGTTTAGTCCAAACTTAGAGCTCACAGGGCTGAATACAAAGGAAGAACATCCATCCTTTGGGATAAGCAGACCAGGAACGGAAGGCTCGGCAACGTCTCCACCACCAGGAAGACCCAGAGCACCTCGTTTCTCATGGAGGTAGAAGTTCTCACCCGCCATCTGGTTACTTACCGCCAATGCTGAGGAGTAAAAGCTGAAGATGTTTTGTCGGAATTCCTTCAGTGCTTTCTTGAACACGACATCCACCAGCGTGTCCTTCTTGCTGTCCTCGTTATCCAGTTCATTCATCTGGGAAACCAAAGGGGTTTATGCACCCATGTGACTTTTGCTGTGGCAGAGCACCGTGTGAGATGAAGCAGCACTAATGAGCAGCTGCTCCACTATGGGCAGACATTCATAGTGACTACAAGGTGGTTACTCCTGCGTGCAAGCTTAGAAACACAAGCATTTCCCCACAGCCTTCAACTCCCGTCCTCCTGGTCACCCATTTCTGATGCCACCAGGGGCAACTCAAAGCAATGGAAGTACCAAAGCTGCTGGGCCCATGCAGAATGACCACACAGGGCACAGCGTGCCCACCTCTTCTCCCAAGCCTGTCCTAATGCATGCTGTGCACCCTTAGATGAATTATTAGTATGGCTTTGTTGCCTCTGTCTGCTTTTATTGCTCTCCGATGATTTACCTGGAGCAGTGAAGACAGGAGTTACCTTTTTCAGGAGAAACTCATCCATGCTCTTCAAGTCGCTAGCGCTGGTTATGATCTGCAGCGAGTCGTTCTGCCACTGCACAGGCTCCAGAGCCACGTTGCTGATCTTGACGCTGCGCTTGCGTTTCACTTTGGGAGAGGGCTCCTTGTTCTCCTTAAACTCCCGACGGTAGATACCAGAGAGCTCGGGACTCCGTGGGGGGGTCAAGTGGTGAGGACCCAACTCTA